CGTTTGATTTTCTTCCAAATCCAACTTGGACCTTGGATTTGACGTCACATCCGAGCTTGAAGTGTATTATTATGTTTAGCGTGTCGGACTGTGTGGATTAGGATTATGACTATTCCCTCACTTTATGAAAACACTGCCACTTTAATAAATAAAATTTTTTGAAAATCTGCACTTCCTTTTATGTTCCTCTCTTCTGTTACAACCTCAGGAACGTTGTTCAGTTTAGACCACCACAATATGTCTCCCAAACCCACAGGCAGAGACACGGACGCAGTAAAGTACTGCAGTGATACAGACGCGGTAAAGTACTGCAGTGATACAGACGCGGTAAAGTACTGCAGTGATACAGACGCTTTAAAGTACTGCGGCGATACAGACGCGGTAAAGTACTGCGGCGATACAGACGCGGTAAAGTACTGCGGCGATACAGACGCGGTAAAGTACTGCGGCGATACAGACGCTGTAAAGTACTGCAGTAATACAGACGCGGTAAAGTACTGCAGTGATGATACAGACGCGGTAAAGACTGCAGTAAAGTACTGCAGTGATACAGACGCGGGTAAAGTACTGCAGTGATACAGACGAATACTGCACAGACGCGGTAAAGTACTGCAGTGATACAGACGCGGTAAAGCAGTGATACAGACGCGTAAAGTACTGCAGTATACGTAAAGTACTGCAGTGATACAGACGCGGTAAAGTACTGCGGTGATACAGACGCGGTAAAGTACTGCAGTGATACAGACGCGGTAAAGTACTGCAGTGATACAGACGCGGTAAAGTACTGCAGTGATACAGACGCGGTAAAGTACTGCAGTGACACGAGTGACTGAAACTGTCATTAAAACACCAAAGTGTCAAAACACAATGGAAACAGTTTACAGTGATTAAAAACTATCCCACATTTCCTTCCACCCACCAACTCACCCCAGACACACACACACACACACACACACATACACACACACACACACACACACATACATATAATAATAATAATAATAATAATAATAATAATAATAATAATAATAATGATATGATAATGATAATGATAATGATGATGATGATGATCATTATAATCATTATTATTATTATTTTTTTTTTATTTAACTAAAAGAAAGCAGTGACCCCCCAGTCACCCCCACGATGTTAGCGTCATGGGTGTGTCCACTCTGACTGTACCTAGGCTGTCGTGGTTAGGGTGGTGCAGTACAACTCAACAGTGCAGTATGTGGTGATACCACACCCCCTCCCCCACCCCCCATCTCCTGGAGTTAGAATATTTCCAGCGGCTCTGAAAACTCTCTCTGATGATGCTCTTGTTGCAGATGCACATGTACCTTTGTTGTCGTGTGGATGTAGCGTGTGTAGTGGGAGAAGTAACAATTGGATGCTGCTGCATATCTCAAGCTCTCACTGTGGCAGGTCAGGTCAGAGTCCTGCACCAGGTCGGGTCAGAGTCCTGCACCAGGTCGGGTCAGAGTCCTGCACCAGGTCAGAGTCCTGCACCAGGTCGGGTCAGAGTCCTGCACCAGGTCGGGCAGAGTCCTGCACCAGGTCGGGTCAGAGTCCTGCACCAGGTCGGGTCAGAGTCCTGCACCAGGTCGGGTCAGAGTCCTGCACCAGGTCGGGTACTCGTAGACTTAAGAGAGAGAGAACCCCGAGCACAAGGAGCAGGTGTCTGCAAAGCGCGATCGAGTGACTGCTGTGTTTACGGTCATCCGATGGTCTACACAGGCGCACCTTAGTCCTGGGTTAGTCCTGGGTTAGGCCTGGGTTAGTCCTGTGTTAGTCCTGGGTTAGTCCTGGGTTAGTCCTGGGTTAGTCCTGGGTTAGTCCTGTGTTAGTCCTGGGTTAGTCCTGGGTTAGTCCTGTTAGTCCTGTGTTTAGTCCTGTCTTAGTCCTGGTTAGTCCTGGGTTAGTCCTGGGTTAGTCCTGGGTTAGTCCTGGGTTAGTCCTGTGTAGTCCTGTGTTAGTCCTGGGTTAGTCCTGGGTTAGTCCTAGTCCTGGTTAGTCCTGGGTTAGTCCTGTAGTCCTGGTTAGTTAGTCCTGTGTTAGTCCTGGGTTAGTCCTGGGTTAGTCAGTCCTGGGTTAGTCAGGGGAATGGAATGGGACTCTGGGTCGGGTCACGTTGGTGATGTGCGGTGATCGCGGTGGCCCAACATGCACCGTAGTGGGTCTCAGTACCACAGTGATTCATTTCTGCGGTTATTGCGACAGCCCTAACTGTACCACAGACCTTCTCTGAACAGTCAGCTGTGAGAAAGGCTCTGAAGATCATCAGAGGTCCGTACTCGACACACAGTATGAGTCCTGCAGTCTGGAGGAGATACAGGGTTCTTTAACAAAAATAACAGGCAGAAAAACGTGTCTGTACCACAGACCATAAAATGTATTCATGAAACCTGAAACCTAAAAGCCGAGATATGAGCTTTTTCAAAAATCATTGATCTTTAGTGATACTGATTTGTCAAATTTCTCTTCACACAGTTTTCTACATATTTCCAGAAGAACATAGTTTCCAAAATATTTGTGAACATCATTTGATTTTCTCTTCGGTGGTGTTCGAGGATTGATCATGTGTTTGCTCTTAATGAATTTTTTACAAGGTGAAGTTTGGTTTTGAATTTTATGTTTCTTCCCAAATTTCAATCAAATAGTTATAGTCTTTTTGTTTAAAATGTATCTGTATCTAAACATAAATCTTGCCATTACTTCAGATAATTTGTGTCTCGTATTATTTTTGTGTAATTTCCAATTTAATCCATCCTCCAGCTTCTCTGGTGGGACCCGAGGTGTTCCCAGACCAGCTCAGAGACATAGTCCCTCCAGCGTGTCCTGAGTCTTCCAGAACCTCCTTCCTGCAGGGACATGCCCAATTTAAATTGAGTTCTGTAGTTGTTCGTAGGAACTTGCTTTCCAAGACTCTTTGGTGTATTTCCAGTGTTTTCTATTGGCTCAAAGTGATGATGTCACATGTGTCCACAGACTTTGTGCGTCTGGACTCAGGGCCCAGTCCGTGCTCAGGATCAGTGCAGATCTGGAACCAGTCCTGGACCAGTGTCTGTGAAGGGGCCTTGGACCTGCAGAGTGCAGAGGTGCTGTGCAGGGAGCTGAGCTGTGGGGTTCCTTTTCTCTTCCAGGGGGCGCTCTCTCCTCTGGGGCAGATGTTCCACTGTGAGGGTCATGAGTCTGCTCTGATGGACTGTCCCCGCTCCCACTCAAGCACCTGCTCCTCTGGAGCCACTGTCAACCTCACCTGCTCAGGTAAAGGGGCGGGGCTTCAGTGCTCAGTAAAGGGGCGGGGCTTCAGTGGTTCAGGTAAGGGGCGGGGCAGTAGTAAAGGGGCGGGCTTCAGTGTCAGTAAAGGGCTCAGTGTCAGGTAAAGGGGCGGGGCTAACTCTGTCTCTTGTCTGTTCAGAGCCGCTCAGGCTGGTGGGAGGAGCCAGTCGCTGTGCTGGGACTGTGGAGGTGAAACACAGAGGAGAGTGGAGACGAGTTCAGTCCTGGGCGTCTGGGAGCTGGATCTTTTATCTGGCTTGTGTCGACACCTGGACTGTGGTGCTCCTGTTTATGGATATGACAGACATCATTTTCCAGAAAGTCCTGTGTGGGCGGTCTACTGTCCCTGTGTGAGGAGGATCAAGTCTCTAGTGAGAGAATGTGTCCTGCATGAACTCTTGGCAGATTCTCGTCAGGGCCTGGAGGTGGTGTGTTCAGGTACAAGTCTGATCATAAATTCTCAGGTTAAATTTCTCTCAGCTCCTCTTTTCAGTTTTTCAATTTTTCCAAATTTGAAAAAGGCTAAACAATATTTTTTAGTGAAGAGGTTGAAGACCTTCATTTTGCACGTTCTCAAGAGATGGTACGAGGGGAAGGCTGCAGGGAGACAGTCCCTCTGTCCCTGCTCTGAGGCTGCAGTGAAACTCAGACAAACTCAGAGAGAGTTACATAATCATGAGTGTTGATGAGAGCAGCCGGTGAAATGCAGGTGCAATAATAACAACAAACAGACGTGCAACAATGACAATAAAATACATCAGCATAACTGCTGATTCATTACAAAGATGTGCAAAAAACCCATAGAGACTAATGTGACAGGATATTGTTTTGGATGTTGTTTCTTGTTGGATAACTGCAGATAAACTATTTATTTAGGAAGTTTTCTCTAAGTTGTACTGCTGAGTACTTCAGTAATCAGAATATAAAGATGAATTTTGTCTGAATGTGTTAATTGTAAAACCATCAGTGTAAGATCAAACTAAATCCCTCTCAGTTTGTCTCCATGTCGTCCTCCTCCCAAACAAACTCTTGTCACTGTGACATTAACTCTGGAATTCCAACACTGTTGGACAAATGTAACAGTAGAAGACTCAGCTTCTGTTCTTTGCCTCCACTTCCTCATATTTTCAGCACAAAGGACAAATACTGGAGACAGAAAGAGAGCAGCAGCATGAGTATAAAAGTACACAGGAAAGCAACACAATGTGATCAGCACCTTTATGGACGTCTGAACACTCCACACCCCACAAGATTTTAAAGAGCCTCAGTTATGCAACACTGACTCTTGTGAGATTTAAGGCATTTAAGAATGTTGTTAGTTTATCAGAAACATGCCCATATTTGTTTCATTCAGTTGTGTTTAAATAACCCTTTATTACCTGGTCCCCAAAAGGTTGACCAGGTTTTGTATTCACCCTGTGTGTGTGTGTGTGTGTGTGTGTGTGTGTGTGTCTGTGTGTGTGTGTGTGTGTCTGTGTGTGTGTGTGTGTGTGTCTGTGTGTGTGTGTGTGTGTGTGTGTGTGTGTGTGTGTGCTGTGTGTGTGATGTGTGATGTGTGTGTGTGTGTGTGTGTGTGTTTGTGTGTGTGTGTGTGTGTGTGTCTGTGTGTGTGTGTGTCTGTGTGTGTGTGTGTGTGTGTGTCTGTGTGTGTGTGTGTGTGTGTGTGTGTGTGTGTGTGTGTGTGTGTGTTATGTGTGTGTGTGTGTGTGTGTGTGTTC